TGGAAGATCAAACTAAATCTATGTTTTACAGCAAACTTGTACACTGGAAGATCTACATTTTATAGTAAATTTTGTACACTAGATCTGTCTCTTTCTGTTTGGATTATTTTCTAACGACTTTTTTAATCACCAAGCCTTTCTTAAAACAACAAGAACAAAAACTGACATGCATCTGGTGCTTCCCCTTTCGCACTCCCTCACCTCTCTAAGGGAGACACGCCCCATAGTTTCCAAACTGCTGTTCTAGAAAGTTCGTATCGTACAAATCCAAATTAAAGTAACATTTTTCTGAAAGATGTGCTCGGTATAAGATTGTCTCTGTTGAAACGCAATGCTAACGATGGGCTATGCAAGTATGACCATTGCAAGAATCGGAAAAACACAACTGTTTTAAAGTAAGGCTTACACTGGGGCCAGCTTTAGGTAGACCTAAAATTGCACCCTTATCATCGTTACACACATAACATTACAATACTGCCACTACTAGTGAGCTTTTAATTTATATTAGTATCTTACTTCGAAATGTTTAGATTTAGGAAAACTTGATTTATCGTCGTTTTTTTTTTAAGATACAATTTTAACTTAGTAGATGCTTGGTTTATATTGAAATTGTTGAACTTACAGTTTCTGTGTTTACCCCCCACCACACCCTACTGAGGCCTTCAAAGTCAGGGACAGCGACAAGTAACCTCAGCTGCTTTACTATAAATACATATTTATCAGTGTAGTATCATTATTAATATTTAACTTATGCTATATGTATTGACTTTTGTTTTTTCCAGTTAGCCTTTGCCTTTTTACCACCTACTTCGATACTTGGTGGGTGGCCTACATTTTTTGTCTCGTTAATCGTGATTGGCATTTTGACCACTATAGTAGGCGACATGGCAAGTATTTTTGGATGCTTGGTAGGCCTAAAAGACGCGGTTACGGCTATTACTTTTGTCGCTTTTGGAACCTCACTACCAGACCTATTTGCCTCCAGAATTGCCGCCCAGCAAGAAACGTATGCAGATAATGCCATTGGTAACGTCAACGGAAGCAACTCTGTAAACGTGTTCTTAGGGCTAGGCCTACCTTGGCTCACTGCTGCCATCTATTGGAACTATAAGGTAAGGATTGTGTCTTGATTTATAGAACTTTATATTAACCAATAACATATCACCGAAGATGGTGATGAGTCCTTTAGGGTTAGCAGGTGCAATGAAGTACCACAATGAGACTAATTTTACTGCCATTGTAATCCACCTGGCCTTTTCGGCTTTCTTGTCTACAAGAAACAGTCTAATATCAGACATTAGCTAACAAAACTTACAACATAACTAGCGGTTTTTGTTATTATCAACTTTCATCGATCCAGCTGGGACAATGACTTTCGAACACATCTTTCAAGTTTAAGTCGATACCATGGAAACCAAAGTACAAAAACAATTATACTATAGAGAATAGCTCCACAGTAATTTTTCTGGGGTAATAATATTATATCATTTGTCATTTCCATTTTACCATTTAATGTGACGCAAAACATTTAAAAACAAAATCACCTCTTTATTAAACCAGCTTTTAAATTATTAACATATCTTCGAAATTGCAGTTTTAAAATAGATAAATTATTGAATTGTTTCCATTAAAATAACGCTGTCGTTAGGTTAGAGATTAATAGTAAACAAAGCAATACTTACTATCTTTAGGAGTCTTCATGAACACGTTCAAAGTCTGTTTTCCTGAGGTGGTTTGGCTTTGATTGTTAATTAAGCACACATCTACACGTGGGCTATCTGTGCTCTGCCTACTACGAGTATTGAAATTCGATTTTTATCGTCGCAAGCTTGCCCAAGAACTGACCCCTGACTTGATTTAATTAAAAAGGACCATTTTTCTTTCATCCACATAATGAACAAAAAATGAGCACTCTATTTTGTATTATTTTTATTTTCAGGGAACAACGTTCAGAGTATCAGCGGACTCACTAAGTTTCAGCGTAGGGGTTTATAGTGCAACAGCCGTATTGTGTCACCTCGTGCTCATGCTCCGACGACATTCGGAAGTATTCGGAAGAGCCGAACTTGGCGGACCGAAAGTCACAGCTATAGGATCATCTATTGTCCTCGTATTTCTGTGGCTTGCATACGTTTTGCTTTCGTCTTTTCAGGCTTATGGCTATTTTAGTAAAGAGTGAGCCATTAAATAAAGTTAGGGAAGTGATGACGTTTGGTAGACTTTTTTTTTTGACAACTTTAAGTGTGGATTTTATTTGATTGGCTGTTTCTAGTCTTAAGACTGTTTACAAACATTATTAGATAATGCAGAATTACAAGCGATTATGTGGGGGTAAAGTGTAAAACGTGTTTCGTTAGAGAAGGAACTAAAATGATAGTTTTCTTTAGAAGCTCACTTCTAATTTTTTTAAATCTGAAAGTTTTAATTTCCTTGAAAATGCAGACATGCCCCTTTTGAACCTCGAAACATAAATCGCCTTAAGGTAAAGCATTATAATACAATATTAGTTAAAAAAAAAAGAGGTTGTTCAAGACCGGAAGTGACGTAATTAGTTGTTTTTTTCACTCTCGATATAATTTATTATTGTAATATATATATGAAAACAGCTAAAGGTATAGTTAGTTTGGGAAAACTAGACCATCAGATTACCGTAGTTTTAAACAGACATTAGACATGTGTAACATAGATACCGTTCTCATCGACATATGAGGTGCTGCCATCTAGCGGGCATTTAAATAACATCCAAACCATAATGAAAACGAAATAAAGATGTGAGGCGAGACTATCCAGTGAAATATCGTTATTGAAGTATATGTATAAAATAGAATTACCATTTCGAAGCACGGACTAGGGTTTCAAATAATGTAAATAGAATAAACTTGGTAGTATTAAACTTTATAGCCAAGTTGATATTAATTCTAACAATGACGTGTTACATAGTTTTAAAGGCATATAAGTAAGTTCATTTTGGAAAACACTTCAAATGATTATATCAGCTAAACAGAGGCGTCGGAACCGTTTGGTGTATTGTATAACATGTGTTTCATGATTATAATATTCATTATCTGTGTTATAATTATTATAGAATTAGTGTTGTTATTATAAATATTAGTTAGCTTTACTAACTAACTGAGTTTAAGATTAGGAATCTATAAACTTTATTTTGTGATCAATCTAAGGTTAGCTTTCAAAACATTGTCATATAAAGTATAAATAAACTTAATAAGCTACATGTCCCACCTTGGGTCTAATTTTTAGTATGGCCGGACTGTAAACCCGAGGATTTATTGTTCGAGCTCTGTTGCCGCAAAAAATATGCTTCATAATTTGTGGTTGTTGATGCATTAAAAACGTACTGATCAGATCGATCACACTATTCGGTCAGGTAAGAGTAACCCAAGAGCTGGCAGTGAGCGCCGTTGACTATCTGCCTTTCTTATAGTACATCATCAGAATTAGAAATGGCTTTGTACAGTTATCTTGAAATCCTGAAATACAAATAAGGTCATCTACCTTAGCTTTAAAAGTCAAATCGCGTCTCGTAAGCGTGAAACGGCGTCTTAAATATAGTTATGCTAGTGTGACCTTGGAAGATCTAGAATAACAATATTTAACCAGAGCACATGTTATAGCGAAGACTGATTTGTGGCTTAAATTCACCGTACCAGTATAAACGTATGTTGACTTATCAAAATAACAGTCCGAACTAATTTAGGCTAAGGTATGTGTTAAATGTTAGGATATTACCAGAAGAAACCACGAACTGAGTTGGACGTACTCAGTTTAATTGCTTAAAGTGGATTCTCGAATCTTGTTTAGGCTCGATGAGCTACGTATAGTCTATTTAGTGTCTTAAAAATAACTTGGACACGATAATTCAAGTCTAGCCTATTTAGTGTCTTAATCAAATCTAATTTGAGCACTATAAGTCCTGTTTACCCTATTTAATGTCTTATTCAAATCTAATTTGTACATGATAAATTACGTCTAGCCCATCTAGTGTCTTAATAAAAGCTAATATGGGCAGTATAACTCACATCTAGCTTATTTAGTGTTTTAATGAATGTTAATTTTGGCACGACAAGTCAAGTCTAATAGCTTTAGTGTATTATTGAAAGCTAATTTTGGCACGACAACTCACGTTTAGCCTATTTAGTGTTTTTGAAGACAACAATAGAGATGTACATTAATAATATGTCGTAATTTTTTGTAGTGATATTAAGTTGATGAATATAAATGAAATTAGACTTTTGGAGATAAATCACCTTAAAAAAAAACGGTTTTTATTTATTTTCTTGGCGACGTTTCGAGCACACGCTCTTTTTTTCAAGCCTGAAACAAGCCCGTCCTTTATTTTTAACATTCATATTTTTCTACTTAATATATGACATAGTTTAATACCACGCGCCCGCCATTCTAAATCGAGAACGAGGCTTATAACGCAAACAGTAAAACAATTGCATCGTATCACTCGTATTCCAATGTGCACTAATGATGCATGATACAACAAGTTTCTTGTTCCACAGCTTCCTACAGTTGCTAAAAGAGTGAAACAGTGGCTTGTAAAGATTCGACATGATGAAGGACCTTTTTCGGTAAATAATACAAATTTACAAAGGCCTAGCCTAACACTAGTAGTAGGGCCTGGGCTTATAATAAGGCTATATGAAATTTTAAACATATGTATAGGAAATCATAGTGCTAAACAGGATAACAAGTGTAGGACTTTCCCTACATACAGTTTTAGGCCTACATCTATGACACAAAATGTGACAGATGACCTACTTTCAATATCATTTTCCTATGACCCATGGAAAAACTTGTAGCTATTAGTAAGGTGTTTTGTAGACACATTTGAATGTCTCTGTATGATTACAGTAACGTCACTCGTTGAAATTTCGAGCACAGCTTCTAAATTATTTGGCCATCCAGGATCCCTCAAACCTTTGTTTGCAGTCGTCACTGTTTGTTTACGATAGGCCTATACGCGATGCGTTTAAGAGCCTCGTTTCGATTTTTTAAAATTAGTATGAGGCATGAACAGAGAGAAGTGCTTCTCGTTATGAGCTGTAGTAGACCATAAGCCTATCATACTCAACTTACGTTGCAGAGAACTCGAATACTTCACTATATTAGGCCTATTCTATAGAACTAGGTTAATGCTAGTGCTTGAACCGACAAGTCTTTTTTTTTATGGGGCCCACAGTGACCAGCGATAAACTTAAAAGCTTATAAAAACTGGGGTCAATCGTTGCGTCCCAGTGGTTAACGTGCCAAACTGTGCAGTTGACTCTGTGGTTTACCTCAAAACGCATCGCAAGTCCGCATTCTGGGTTCGTGGGAGCGTTAAGAATGACGGCTAAGACCCACTATCCGCTGTGTCCAATTGGCAGTGGGTGATGTTGACTAGCTGGCTTCCGGTGGGCACAGCGCAGATAACTAATTATTTAAAAACAAAACAAATAGAGTAAATGCTGGTTTGTTTGCAAGAACTAATAACTCAACTGTAAGGGCAGTTTTAATTTAGGACTAGGGTGGTGAGGGCCAGAATAATTTAGAAAAAGTAAGAGATAGAGAACAATATGGCGGAAAAAAAGTACAGAAGTGGTAGGTTAGACTGTTATTATTGTAATGCTAGAAGTATAAGAAATAAAATGTCTTATCTTACCTTAGAAAGAACATTGAATTGTTGGAAAGAGTTCAGAGAATGGCTACTAGGATGACACCTGTGATGGCAAGGTTGTCATACGAAGATCTCTGAAACTGTTTTCTTTCTGATGGAAAAACAGAATAGTTTGAGGGGGATCTGATTGTGGCGTTTAAAAATTTTAAGGGAATTTACAGCATAGATTCATCTCTCTCTTTTTTTTCATACTTAATGTTGAGAATGGTAGAACTAGGGGACACAAATATAAATTTTGTCAGAATAGAAGTCACCTTCAGCTAAGACAGCCTTTGGAATGGGTTGCCTCCAGATGTGCCAGATGCAATACATTTACGGTATTTTAAGGGAAAGCTTGGTAAATATTTGAATGACAAGGACTGGCTTTGACGGTTTATTTTTATTCTAAAGTTTAGTTTAATGGCTGAGACGGCCTAGATGGACCAACAGGTTCCTTGTTGTCCTTCATATACGTATGTTCGGTGGAGTATTTTTGCATTAATATACTTTCATGATTTGTTTGTTTGTGATCAAATCCATCATTTGTGACAAATATACAAAGTAGTAAACTCTGCTGTCAGACTCCTCCCTCCCCCTCCCCACTCTGTTCTTTACTAACTTTTAGCCCACAGAATCTTTTAAATACGTTGCCGCTCATATATAATGAATTTTTACAACATATAATCGTGTTAGCAACGATTCACCAAACTGTATTATTTACGTATGTTAGGCCTGAATTTATCATCAAATATCAGATTGTATTATTTACGTATCTTAGGCCTGAATTTATCATCAAATATCAAATTGTATTATTTACGTATCTTAGGCATGAATTTATCATCAAATATCAAATTGTATTATTTACGTATCTTAGGCCTGAAGTTATCATCAAATATCAAATTGTATTATTTACGTATCTTAGGCCTGAATTTATCATCAAATATCAAATTGTATTATTTACGATCTTAGGCCTGAATTTATCATCAAATATCAAATTGTATTATTTACGATCTTAGGCCTGAAGTTATCATCAAATATCAAATTGTATTATTTACGTATCTTAGGCCTGAATTTATCATCTAATATCGTTTACCAATATTAGTCGTTAATTAGTATTAAAATCTTATTATTTGTGTATGTATAATAATGACTGTTAAAATTATATTATTTACGAAGATATATAAGAAAGTTATTATTTATTCACATAAGTTCTATTTAGAATAACTTCCAGTAAAATCTCTTTAATAACCAAGAGCCTGATTTTACTTTTTATTTCATGTTTTGTTCATTTAGATTTTCTTGTTAATTCACACGGTTGTTGGATTTAAACTGTTTTTTTTTTTTATCAGAAATGAAAGACGGGATGAGATAAGCGCTGTGAGATTTTCCTTTACGTTTGTTTCTCAATGGATAAACATCTCGATAAATATAGAGATTAGTTATCCTTACGTAGTCTAGATGGCGCTATTATAGAGTGTAGCCAAATTGCCTTTTTTGTCATTTTGTTTATTTGCATTTCATGTTGTGATTTATTTACAAAATTCAAATACCAAATGATTCAAATAAATTATTACGACGTATAAAAATACCGTTTTTTACGCATTGTACCCAGAACTTTAAACATTGAGACTTGGCGTGGCCTAATGGTTAACGAGACGGAAGGTACATGCCCAAAAAATCGCA